GTGAGTAGAAAATTAAAGAAAATAAAAAAAAAATAAATATACCAATTTATTTTTGGCTCTCTTGTTTTTTTGTGCATTGAGATATTTACATAAAAAATATACAACAACCCCTTCAAAAAAGTCTTTTTTAGTTTTTATATGTGATTCGCATCTTGTCCGATATATATATATTCTTAAAAGAATATGTATCTATTTATTTTTCTCCCTTTTTTTTATCTCTGGTATATTTGAAGTATTCAAATCGTATTCAAAAAGTACACTTGAGTCGTTCTTAAGCAAGTCTTTTTTTTGTATGATTTATCCACTCTGATATTTAAATCTATCTATCTCGTTTAAAAAAAAATATTGAAGTTAATTTAGCATGATAATGGTTGTTATTAAGATTTTTATTTCCCCGTTTTCTATGTCTCTCTTTTTATTTATTATTTTTTTCGTTAGCTTTTCTAAAATCCAAAAGAAAATCTCAAGTGTTATTTTTCGAATACAAGAGCGTGAATTTAATCGTGCTTTCGCTAAGAGTATTTATCTATTTATCTATTTATTTTTTGTAGAAATCGCTCTGGACATATTAATGAATAAAAAAAAATGTTTATAAGCTTTGCGGAGAACAATTAGGCCGAGAATTCAATGTTTAAAAGCTGGTGTTGTCACCCTTAGAGCATCTTTTTTTTTGTTAGATGAAACTCGTCTGCATTTTTCTTATTTATTCGTTTATTCATTTATTTAGCCTTTTGAATGTATGTAAAAAAATAATAATAACCAAACGCGAACGAATGCAATCCAAAAATGTGTTTGATGTTTATAAAAAGGATCCCCTGGTGTTCGTTTTGTGTCTGAAAATCGTTTTACGAAATTTAAAAATTCCCTTGAAAAGCCCATTAACAGTGTTATTTCTATAAGAAAATATAATAAGTTTATGAATTACATGTTTACACGTTTCTATAACCATATTGATTTTTTATACTCCCCTCCCCCCCTATTTTTATCCTTAAGAATTAAGTTTTTTTTTTTCTATATCTTATCCTAATGATCCCTGGACAAGCTTAAATATAAATACCTTGTTCCCAATTTAAAAAAAAAAACCCTACCCAGCCTTTTCAAAATATCTTCCCTCCATTTTTGATAAAGAAAAAAAACAAGAAAGAAGAAAAAGAAAGAAAAAAAATAGAAAAGTTTCATCGAGCTTCATTTTTTTTTTTTTTTCAAAATACGCTTGATAGTTTTTTTTGTGTGTATTTTTAACAATGTATTTTCCCTGCATGACTTGTGCAACATGCATGACGATACCCTTTTTGCAATTGATCTTTTCGGGACGACCAAAGCACGCTCAAAAAAGATAAAAAGAAAAGAAAAGAAAAAAGAAGAGAGAGAAACAGAGAATAAAAGACAGAAAATTGATTTCAAAGAAAATAAGCAAAAACGATTTTTTAATGAAAAAAATAGAAAGAGAGAGGATAGTCATGGGGAAACAAGGAAACAGGAATCGAAAAAAAATAAAAAAAATAAAAAAATCTAAAGCACAGAAAACGGAACGCGACAGAAAACGGGAATTCACACTTGATATTCAAATCGCCAAGCAAAATTAACCCTTTTGGCATAATAATCTTATACAATGGGGGTAGGGGGAAGGGGGTAAGAATGGGGATAGGAAGGGGGGGTAGGAAGGGGGTAGGGGGAAAGGGAGGGGGAGGAGTAGGATGAACGAAAGGCAAGAAAGAACGGAAAGAAGCGAACAAACAAGTAAATGTGGAGTAAGGAGAAAGAGAGATAAAGAGTGAGGAATGAGAAAGAGAAGGGTAAATAAGCAAGAGGGAGAAGAGAAGACAATGGTAAGAAATGGAGAAGAAACAGGAGAGGGAGAAAGAGGGATGAAAAGGACGTAAAGAAGGGAAGGGAAGAAAGGGAAGTCAAAGAGAGGAGAAGAGAGATATAAAAAAGGGAAGAGAAGGAGAAAAGAAAATAATGTAAAGAAAGTATAAGACAGTAGGAGAAGATTAATAAGGGAAAAAAGAGAAAGGAAAGGAAGAGGAGAGAGGAGGAAAAGGAGAGGGAGAGAACGGTGAGAGAATGAGGAAGAGAGAGAAGGAGGAAGGTAAGAGGAAGAAAGAGGTGAGAGAGAAAGAAGGAGAGGAGAGGCGTGAGCAGAAAGGGAAGAAAGGAAAGAGAGAGGAAAATAGAGGAAATAAGAATTGGGGAATTAGAAGAGGGGAGGAGAGAAGGGAGAGGATAAGAACAAGATAAAAAGCGAAAGGGAGAGTGAAGGAGCGAAATAAAAGGAGAGAAAAGGCGTGAGCAGAAGGGGAAAGGAAGAGAGAGATAGGAGAAAATAGAGGTAACTAGGGAATAGGAAATGAGGTAAGAATAAGGGAGGAAGCGAGAGTGAAAGTGAAGAGGGGAAGGAGCAGGAGAGGAGAGAAGTGGAGAGAAGTGGGAAAAAAGCAGGATAAGAAACGAGAGAGAGAGAGAGAGTAAAGAGGTGGAAGAGAAGAGAACAAATGTG